AAAAATAAATTTATACCTATCTTTATATATCCTTTATAAATAATCTAGGCAACTATATTTGGGATATACATCTAAACGATAAAGAAATGAAAATACTTCTCAAATTTTTTAAGCCTAAACCGAATTTTATTTCAAGCCAAGATCATATCACCCTTAAAATAATACAAAACTAGTGTCAAGTTCTCTCTTAAGTTTTAATCTTTAGAGAACATTACAGTTACGGCCATAAGAATTACCATGTCTGATACTCCATAATATCTGGGTAAAATATTATATCACATTCATGGTAGAAAAGAACGTCACATATGTATAATTATCTGCATATGTATACAGAGCTATAGATATATGTATATACAAATATTTATATACATTTATAAGTCGTATAATCGCAATTCTATAAACTGTCAACGACAGCTGAATTTCTAAAATCAAAAAAGAAAACGCTGAAAAAACAGAAAAGTGTTCAAGTATTCAGCGCTTTTTCGATCTTGGCCCATTTGTTGTCTATGTCTTCGATACGATTAAAGCGAAATATCTGAAACCGAACTAAGTGAAACGAATCGAAAAATGAACACATTGTCTATTGCATGGGAGGTTAAGAACTATCGAGATACTTGCTAAATTATGTCAAAGATCTGTTGTTTGCCTAGAATATTAAGGGTATTCCAGAAGAGCTCTGGAAAGATATAAATTGTTTTATAATACATAGATAAGGCTGTTCTTAGGATAGGAAAGTATTTCATGGAGCTTTTAGAAAATGTTAAGTCATTTCCGAGGGAACTAGGAATCAGGAGCTATGAAGATCTCCTTGCTGTACTTAGGTCAAAGACATCAGAGATCAAGTTTATCTCATGTATTTCATTATTATATATATATGTATTATTTTAATAGGAAATCAGAGTTCCTGAAGCCAAACAACTTTTTATATTCTAGGATATTTATAGTAATTTAGACTAAAAAGTTTGAATCATTAAAAAAGAATTTGTGGGGATTTTTGGTTTTTGTATTTTAGGCTTTTTTATTTGCATTAGAAAAAAAAAACAAATTTGTTAAATTAAACACCCTCCAGCAGGGCAGCGGACGGACTGCACGGCAAGTGCCCAGCGGTGCTCGCTTAGTAGTTGGATCCACCATAGGGAGCGGGGCTGGCATAGAGCGGAGAATCAGCACCGGCGGCGTAGCTGTCGGAACTGGAGCCGGAGTGGCTGGGGCCGGAGGCACCGTGGCTGCCGTAGGACGGTCCCTGGTTGTAGGATTGAGGCTGGCTGTAGGACTGAGGCTGCTGGTAGACGGGGGCAACCACTGGGGCCAGAGGTGCCTCGATCTTCTTGCCTGGCTTGTAGACCTTCACGTAGACGGGGTTGAGGCTCAGTGGCGTGGGCACCTTGTTGATGACCTCCTGCTGGTAGATGACCGAGGGCTTGATCTTGTAGATGACGGGATTGCCGCGCACCACAGTCGGTGGGCCGCTGTTCACATGGGCGGGTGGTGCGCCGGGCTGGTGCACAATGATTGGGGGCAGGGGCTGTGTGGCGATCACCTGATGGTTGTTGTGGCCCGATGGCACCAACAGGGAGCGGAACAGATGCTGATCAACGAACTGGGGTGAGACCACATTGATCTTGCCCTGACGAATGTTGCTGGCCAAGTTGTTCTCGGCCAGTGACTCGGCGATATCCTCAGAGTTCTTCAGCTTCTGGTAGGTGGGATTGTTGTTCAGCGCCTGCAGCTGAGCCTGGACGCGGCCCAGGCGGCGGGCCTCCTCGGGCGAGGGCTGGATCTCGGCCTGGGCTGTCAGCTGATTCGACGAGGCCTGTGAGCCACCGGTGGCGGCATTCACATACTCATCCAAACCGGCCGATGGACCTCCGGGCAGATACGGCAGCGGACCGCCAGAGCCACGACCATAATTAGCGCTCACCAGCTAAAAGAAAATGAAACGAGATGCGCTTGATAAGAATTGGTTGCCTTTTTTTCATATTGCTTTGCAGCATTAGAGAGCTGAAGTGGGTGTTGGTAGAGTCGGTAGAGACGGTAGAGTCGGTAGAGTCGGTAGAGTCGGGAGTATTTTGTTTTTGTGGGTTCTACATACCGGTGCGGCGGCGACGGCGAAAAGCCCAAACCAGAGACCAAGTTGCATTTTGTGTGATGTCAGACGTCTACTGTTCGTTGGTTGGCACTTGAGCTTGGTCTTTATAGCGGGCCTATGGCATCGCTGTGGCGCTTTTATATCGCGCTCACGTTGCCACAACCATCATGGCCCCGGCTACGTGATCTTTGCGATGCCATTGCGCCAACGATTTACATTTCCGATTTCAAATTTTTGTCGCACCGCCCAGCCGTTGGACGAGTCGATGCGATGCGATGCGATGCGACGCGATGCGACGCGATGCGACTTGCCGCGACGCGACTCGACTCGACTCGACTCTTGTTCTTCTTGTTGTACATCTCATTGCTGCTGCTTGGCCAATGGCCAAGATCTCAGTCGCTGTCTGCAATGCTCGTGCTCTGTCTCAGTATCTGCGTGAGTTCTTTGCGACGGCTTGGACTCGCCACACACACACACACACACACACACACACAATAATTGACAGTTGGCATAAATTGATCTTCAAGTGATCTTCGTATACAATTTTGCCTGTTTCGAGTCTTATCGAATATATGTATGTATGTATATATCTTATCACACCCAACTGGAAGCTACAAATCTACTTCAACTATCTGTGATTAAAGTAGCAGGCGGAACCGTGCAAACCCAACGAGTGCAATTTATCTGGAACTACCAAGAATATCTAAGTTATATAAGTATATGTGCATGTGTGTGTGTGTGTGTGTGTGTGTGTGTGTGTGTGTGTGTGTGTGTGTGTGTGTGTATCACCTTCAGAAATTCCATTGCACGAAAAGTAAACAACAAGAATTTTGTTTTGCTCTAATGATGTGGCACAATTCATTGTCGCTTCAAATTCATTCTTATTTTTGGCAGTTATCTGAATGCGCTGAGCAAATGTTGCTTTAGCTATGCAAATTTCATGGTGAATTTAAGTGAAATTCAGTTAGAGTTTGATAACAACTATAATATTCCATAATCCTCCATTAGTTGTAGTTTGACAAGTCAAATTTTTCACCTATGCAACTCACGAATACAGCGACTGAGGCACGCATCGATGCACTAATACATATACACTATATAACAGCTCAGGGTATTACTTGAATGGTAAGTAAGTTTCTCAGGCATAAATTTAATGGTCTGGAATATCGTCCTCACCTTGTAGGGATTGCCCAATACTTACGTATTTTTTATTAATTTCTCATTCTCTCATTCATGACTTTACTACTTCATGACTATTACTCTATTACTCTATGATATTAAGACTCTTTATACTCATTTGTGAAGTTCCCATTTACAGTTTCTATCTTATCAAAGTTCGACAATTCTTTCACATTTTGTAGATCTTTGGACTATCCTATCTTTTCTCTCCCTCTCTCTTTATTTCTCAATTTGCTGTCGTTGCTTTCTTAATTTGTTTTTAATTCATGAAATTACAAGCCTTTATTTATTTTATAAATTGTTTATTCTCTTATTCTGGATCCGTTACGTTTATTAACATTTACTTATTCATTTTAATTTGAATCAATTTTACTTTTTATCTAACTGTTGATTTTAATGTTGTTACATATATTATTTCATTGTTATATAGTATATTAATTATACCTAGGAGTCCTCATAATTATATTTTGAATTTCCATCAACCCTATCTTATCATGGTTTAATAATATTAACTGTCAACAAAATATCCCCATATCACGTGCCAATATTATTAAAATATTTTTCTGTTCTTATTCAGCCCAGTTTAAATCTCATCTAGTCAAATAATTTGAGCTCGATCAATAGAAATAGCATATCTATACATATTATAATATAAATATAGTCTTATATGTGTGTAATTCTTATAGTATAATTCTTTATATTATTACGATTCTCACCGACAGAAAAAGTACTACCGTTTCATTTTAAATTTTTTCATTTTCTTTTTTTCTTGCGTTTATTAAATTATTAAATGCTAAACTTATTTAGTCTCCGACGCTCAGAGTCCGCGCTTATAAAGCAAATAGGTTAGATCGCGAGTGGGTCGACTGCCGAAATCGTTGAATGCCGACTTGAAGGGCAGCTGGCTATCGAAGTCTTCGGAGCGTGCGACACTCGAGCTGGGCGCGGCCTGAGACTGTTCGGCGTGCAAGGTGTCCTCGCTGGAGCTGATGTAGCTGGCAGGAGCCGAGGACTCTGATGCAGCCGGATTGGATTTGTAGCGTTGGCGCAAGCCATTGGCTGACTTGCCAGCCTGCGTGTATGAGTGATGTTTGTGTTGTGTGTGTTGTGTGTGCTGTGTGTGTTGTGTGTGTTGTGGTTGTGGTTGTGCATAGTTCTGCCTATACACAGTGTGTGTGTTGTATTGTGTGTTGGGCAGTGCATAGCCTCGTTCGTATAGTTGCCTCTGGTGCTCTGCCTGCTGCCTATGATAGTTGTTTTTGAGCGACATTGCCTCGCCATCGAGACTCAACTGGGTGACCAAATTGGGGTGACCATAGCCACCGGATTGACTGAACTGTTGCTTCTGCTGTTGCTGCTGCTGCTGTCGCTGCTGCTGTTCCTGTTGTTGCACCTCTGGCGGTCGTTCGGCACCCGGCAAATACTCATGATGCACCTCCTCATGTACGCCATTGCTGGTCTGATTGATGATGCGATTGTAGTCCTCATTGGTGCCGCCCACCTGCAGGTGTATGGCATGCTTGAAGTCATCGCCCAAGTGCTTCAGCCAGAAATCATCGTTCACATCGCCGGTGGTATAGATGCGCGTCGTCTGGCCACTCTTGGGCTTGCCGACTCCGGCGCTTGTGGCGGCCATAACATCGATCACATCGTACTGACCATCCTCTGTAACCTTCGGTGTCACCGTATTGCTATCCAGGTCTGTCTCCAGCTCTTTGTCCATCTCCTCAACGCGAGCTGCTTTATTCAGATCACCGCCAATTACCAAATCAGCATCGGAGCTGGGACGGATTGTGGTGCTGCTGCTGAGGCTGCTCGGACTGCTGCTGCTGCTGGTGTCATTCTTCTGATGGTAATTGATTTCAGAGTTTATTTGCGCTCGTTACGCTTTAGGGTCTTCCGATAACTCACCTGCCCTATTGCCAGCTGTGCCAATGCCATTACCGTTAGCATTAGCAGCGGCGGCAGCCAAACAGAGTTGGCAGGGGCGCCCATTCTGATATGTTAAGTTAGCTAGATGTGTGATCTCTGCTCGGGCTCTCCAACTGAACTCAGCGCTCCAAGTGAACTGGACTTAAATACTCGATTGCAGCTGCGTGAGCTTTTGTGCACTAGCCAAAGCGGGCAGCGTGCGCACAGACGTGATCTATGGCCAGATATCAGATGCATCATCGACTGCATCATCGCTGTCAACCTTGTTTCATCTTTGATGCGTCAGCTGGCCCAGGGTCAACAATAATGGTTAGCACTGGCCGCTCAATGGGCGCGTACGAGGCTTCAATAGCTGTGGCTAGTACGCAATGCACTTGTCATTGATGGCGGCCAGCATGGCGGCCATTTCCGGTTGCACGCGAGTGAGAGAGCGAGAGCAAATAAGACAGAGGATGGCATAAATAATGAATATTTACTTGTGCATTGAGAGCAGTTTGCAACTTCCGCAAAAGTGGAACTGAGTATACGGCCGGAATGCTACTGCCGAACGATTGAGAGCTGCTTACCTTTGTAAAGGTTAAAGTTCATGTTGTTGTTAGTGCCAAGTCGTTTGTGATTCAAACATCAGCAAGATCTATCAACATGCATACATGTGTATGTACAATATGTATGTATGTACATCACACATTAATTTATGGCAGAGAAATTTCTACTCGAATTTTCTTTTGCATTTGCATTTATTTGGCACGCAAAAATCGTGAAATACGCTTGGAATGTGTATGGTATGTGGATAATAAATGCTCGAACAGATAGTTAAAAAGCAACGAAACTGGAAAAAGTGCAAAAGAGAAAACGAGATGCAAAAGCTAATCTATCAGAGATAGCAGAAATCTAATTGCAGCTCACTATCGCATCTCCAGTCAGCCAATAATCGATAGCCAAACAATCGGCAAACTTGATGCATCGATAAGAAAACGACTTCCTGTTCAAATTTACTAGCATTTCAAGGCAACTAAAACATGAACGTGAACGACAAAAGAAGAATGTGTGAGTAGCTGTTAACCTTGATAGGAGCACGAATATACATATGTATATACATATGAGAGTATGCAGAGAACATGCATGTATTAGTATGTTTAAATTATGTATAAAATAATTGTTAATTATGGTTTAACTACGTGTAAATACATCATCAGAGTCTGTCTTCATATGGTTAGTGTAGACAATCTGAAACATTTACATGTAATAATTGTTATTTAGATAGTAAGAAATAAGCACATATTTGTAGTTAAACAAGGCAAAAGACTTTTATTGAATACTTTTTGGAGCATACTCAGAAGTTGACGTTGAATTGTGAACGTAAACAGAAAACGCTCCACACACGAACGGACGGGGGGACAGAACGATGAAAAGTGCAATATGAGAAATAAATTAAATACAATTTACAAACCATATATACAAAGATTTTTACATATATATATATATAGAGAAACTGTACAAGTGGAGCGGGCATTGTTCCACTGGCCTAAATAAATGCGCGCCCAGATTTGCGGGGCTCAGCAGAATTTTATTGGCTGGCCCATTGGGTCATCTTCTTTAGTAGCCGTAGCCGTTGCCGTTGCCGCCGTCTCCGTCTCCGTTGCCGTGGCCGTAGTAGCTGCAACGAGAATCGAATCAGAGTGTGAGAAAAAAAAAGCCGCCAATAATTTACCCATTTATTTGTGTTGTAATTTGTTTTCGTATTAAGTTTATTATAAACTAGGCAACTAGCATAGAAGTAGAACCACAGATATCCCCCTATATAAACAACCGCACTAAATATATATACATATACATATGTGTATAATACAATGATCTATCAGCCCACAGAGAGTTAGTTAAGTGCTTAGGCGAGTGGTGCCTAGAACCAGGCGCGCAGATAGTCTGTGATGGGCGGCACATTGTACGTATCCAAGCTGTAGCCGTCGTGATTGTGGCTATTGTAGCCATAGGTTGTCGACGGCGTCGTCGAGTAATCAGCTCTGAGCGCCGATTCTGGTTCGGTGGACGTGTCGAAGCCCCAGCCGCCGAGACGGCCATCGAAGAGCTTCTTGAGAAAGTCGGTCGTTTGCTTTCTTTGTTCGGGCTCGGGGTCGACCAAGACGCCGCCATATTGTGAATCGGTATCAACATATTCCGGATGCTTGTAAACAATGCCCGATATGATGCTATCCAGCTGATTATTAGCCACGTGCTCCACCGGATAGCCATCGGCGATGCCCAGCACTGGCGGTGCATAGGTGCGCGGATTGATCGACTGCAGATCGCCAGCGAATTGCAGCGGCGTTGAGCTCTGCTCGAGTGGATCTGGCACCGAGGTGGTCGACAGCAGCGTTCGCAGCTGCGAGTCATCCACAAATCTGTACTCATTGTAGTTGCCCGACAGCGGCGAAGGTATCTGCTGTGGGAAATAGCTGAGCGCCGAGCGCTTGGCCGGTATCGTGTTGACCAGCGAAGGTGGTGGCGGTGGCGGTGGCGGCATTTCCGATTGTTCCGATATATCTGGCTGCTCGGTATTTCGTTCCGATATCTCGGGCTGTTCGGTGCTGCCTGTGCTGCTGAACTGTGGCGCCTCCTCGGCGGCATCGCCTGGCCCGCTGGCTGTGATGGCGCCGCAGCCCATGTGGCACTGGCCGCGCTTGAAACTGGGATTCAGTGTCTCCGGCATGTATTGTATGATCTCTGGCGCCGTCAAATCAATATTGGCACGGTCCCGCTCCAGCAGATCATACTCACCCTTGATGTCGCGCTTGACCAAGTGGCGACCCAGGCCTAGCCAGCGCTTGCCATGCCCCACGCCCTGGGCCGATGTCTTTTTAGTCTTACGCTTGATCTTGGCGGGCGCGTGCTCCTGTGGGGGCACCAGCCCAAATATACGCATCTTCTGCTGCTGCTGTGGCGTCAGATCCTTGTGATAGAGCTTAACATAACGCACCGGACGCTCCTGCAACTGCTGCTGGCGCATTATGCGTTTGCGCAGCAGCGACCCATGCGAACGTAGGTCGCGACGACGACGTATGGCATTGCCATTGGCAATGGCCATGGACTGCTGCTGCTGGGCTACGTACCTTGGCTTGGCAGCGGAGCAGCTGCTGCAGCTGCAGCTCGACTTGTCCCGGGCGCGGCAATCTGCAATGATGACGGGAGAGAGAGAGAGAGAGAGATGAGGTTAATGTGTATTGTCTTATTAGGCTCGGGTGTTCCCACCTGATTTGTTGACCGTAACACGGTCCACCTTGGCGTACAGTTTGGCCGGTTTGACTGTGGGCGGCGCAGCTGTGCGCGGCTCCTCGACGGTAAAGTCGAAGCTGTAGCTGATCTTGGCCTTGGCCTGCACGGGCTTGTCCACGCGATAGCCATACTGGCCGCCCTCGTACTTCTTGGGCTTGCTCGGATTGGGCACATTCAGCTGGTAGCCCAGCTGGGTGGGGCATGCGCAGCCATCCTCTCCCGTATAGACAACCTGAACGGGTGTGGGGGCTGTTGCAACATGGCCAAGCAGCGCCAATACAACAATTGGCAGTAGCGCCATCGCGATCGACATGGTTGTATAGCTATATAAATGTATCAGTATATATATATTTAGTTATATATAGATTTGTATATCAAATGGTATCAAACGGCGTCTGTTTAGGTATCTGGCGCTCTGGCAACTAGCCCAAGCTTGGCTCGTCGCATTCTTTATATCGGCTTCGACTCCATGCAGTGCAATCTCTCACGCAGCACCAGCGACCACGTCTGGAGTGCTGTCTGTTCTGGCCAGCGGCGGCGGCGGCGACGACTGCGGCTGAACTTGAACTTGAACAATGTTTTTTTCACTCCAATTGTTGTTGCTTTCCACTGCTGTTGCAACTTGTTCGCGTTGCTGTTGCTGTTGTTGCTGTTGTTGTTGCTCGCGCTGACCTTTTCCAATAATTTGCGCTTGCGATATTTTCTGTCAAAAGTCATGTTTCCAGCGTTCGTTGATTTCAGTGCCGAATCAAGTGTTGCACTTGGGTTTGGGGGCAGAAAAATTATATAAACATTTGTGTTTGACTTGCAACTGCTTCGCACTGCTTACAGTTAAGTGCAGCGATTGTAGTGGAGTTGATGTATCGATTAATCGATATACTGGCAAAAGTCAGCCATCGAAAATCTAAAGACCTCTAAACTTACGGCCGTTAAAGGGCATTTTCTGTGGTGTGTCTCAAAAAATTAATTTATTCTTTTATTAGCGACCCACAGCCAACATAATGTATGGTATACTTTTAGGACAGCAAAAAAATTGAAAAACTGCTGATACAAATGTTTATTTAATCGTGTGTTCTTTGCTTATCGAACATTTTTACGTGGAATTCACTTTTTATTTATGTATTGTTTATCTGATTGTCTTGACATTCGAATTGAAAGAAAAATAAGCATGATGAGCGTGCTCTTCAGATTAATGCATTACAGGCCCGTTTCATGTGATATTTTCACTTCAATGCTATCAAGAGTTTTTATAAGCAGCAATGCCATCTCCTTCACCTCRATAAAAGAAAAATGTATATACATACATACATGTGTACTTCAAAATGCAGCTAACTGTTAAAAAGGATCGTGTATTTTAAATAAATTGTAAACGCTAACTAAAACATACATACATCATACATCATCATTGCATCCATCCCTATTCATATACAATTATTTACAGACTCTGATCTTACTACCTAATAGTAGCTGCCACTATCCAGCTCCTGGCGACGGGCACTGCGATAGGGGGCGACCCGACCGGGCTTGAAGCCGCAGTCGACCGAAACTTTGCCACCCACCTTGCCGTAGCCTTCACTGGCCGAGCTGGAGCTGTAGCTGGATTTGGATGAGATGATTTTCTTGAATTTGGGATTCTTGAATTGTTCGGTTATGTAGCCAAGCTGCTTGTATGTCAATTGCGGCGCCGCTTCGTCACTCTCGGCGGCTTGCTCCTCCTCTTCCTCTACGTACTCCTCCTCTTCCTCCTCCTTGGCCACATAGTTGCGCTTCTTCAGTGTGATGACATCGCTCTTCAGCTTAAACAGATTCTCCTCGGGCACATTGGAGAAGAAGATTTTCTGTTGTCCATCCACGGGCTTCTGTGCGAATCCATAGGACAGCTTGGCCTCGGGCACATTGATAGCCTTGCCCGCCTGGACGGCCAGGCTGACGCTTATGGGATCAGCCGGTGGGCTATCATCCCTCGACTTCTCGGCCGCATAGCCAATGCTAAAATAGATTTCATTGATAGCAACTGTGGATCGTAGGCCGAGCATTCAAATACTCACTTATCGTATGTGGAGCTGCTGCTGCTGCTGCTGCTGGWGCTGGCGTAGCTGCTATCTTGGCACTTCTGACAGCCGCAGGTGGGTTTGCATGGTGGCTTCTGTGGAAATGACGAGAGTTTTGGGTATCGGTATCGTATTGACTAAGTTCTATCATTGCAAGCAGGTTGTTGTTGTCGATGTTGCTGTTGTTAATGCTTGGCGCACGTACGGGATGATAATGACGACAGAGCGACCGATGATGCCTAAGTCCATTACGATGATGATGATGATGATGATGTTATTGTGGTGGGACTGCTGCTGCTGCTACTGCTGATGATGATGATGATGATAATTATGTTGATGCAAGCACAACGTTGTTATGGTTGGCCTATTGCGGCGCACATTCTGTCGCTGATAGCGCTTGCATGCGGAAACGTTGATCGTGGCATTGACAGCTTCTACAGAGGATGTGGTCATGTGTGTGTATGTATGTATGTGCGTGTAAGCTTATTGTGCTGGGGCGAAAACTGGGCATGCGTGTATACTACTGTATAGTCTGGGTTGGGGTTGATCTACAATTCTTATGATTAAGTTTGTTAGCCACTTCAGTGGGTTAGTCACAGGCCGTAGCCATAGCTCGCTGGCACCATGTGCACGGCACGCCTCTTGTGGCAGTCGGCTTGCTCCAAGCGCTGCAGCCGCTCGGCCAGACGCTGTGCCGCCAATGTCTTGGCCTCGATGGCGCCCTCAAGCATGCGGCGGCTCAACAGATTGTTAAATGCGTGCACATATTGAAAGAGCTCACGTACTTTGCCGCAGGTCTTCGGTAGCTGGGCGGGCTCGATCAGCTGCTTGCTGCACCAGCAATTGTCGCCGATGGGCGACAAGTTCACCTCGCTGGGCTCATAGTAGCGGGGCCGCGGTCGCACTATCGTCGGTCCCTGGCAGCTCTGACAGAAATCGGTGCCCTTCTCCGAGCAGACACAAGCTGCCAACAGCTGAAAATGACGGAAATCGCAGTTAGACAATTGGGCCAATCTCAGTAGAAAGTTCCAGTTACTTACGCCCTGACAGCACAGCAGCGTCAACACCAGAGACAACATTAATTTGCTGGCGTGCATTGTTAAATGCTTGATTACAATATACTTATATACAATGTATGATGTTACTGGGGGGCTCGTCTTATCGGTCGCGTGCTGCTCTGAGCTCGTTAAACGTTTGAATTGACATCGCAGCGACCCACACGTTTTATACCCAAGATCTAAAGCTCAGCTCAGGTTGTTGTTGTTGTTGTTAGTGCTGCTGCTGTTGTTGTGCATTATGTTATTCTTATTTGCATTATTACTGATATTCTTACTGCATATGCACGATGTCTGCGATTCGCTTTAAATGAAACTCAGTGTCGCCAGCTCCATTGGGCAGGGACACTTTCTCATTTCTACGCGCCAGGGTCGCAGTTCAGGCTCTTGGGGCGAGTTCAGCTGCGCATCGCTGCTTTCGCTCGGCGGCAGCACGTGCCCAATGACCCAACGCCCAGTGTGCAGCGACAAGTGGATGTTGTGGGATGTGGTGATAAACGCTAAGCCGCGCGAAACTTTGCAAATTCCATGAAATTCATATCGCTAATGTTATACTCTCGTTGTCTCTCTCTTGCTGTCTCTGCCTCTATCTTGTTTCTGTCTCAGTCGCTGCTGACAGCAACGCCAACGCCGGCGCCGACGCTGCCAAAAAATTAACAATGAAAGTTGTGCAAAATCAAGAGCATTTGCGAACGATTTGCCCGATTAGCGCCGCGTCCCAATTCCCCGGTCAACGTCAGGGTCCGCCATTTCCATTGGTCCGTTGGTAGCGAAAATAGGCCACTGACCTAATTTCTGTTTTAGTAAATAACATGGCAGACATGTTTGCAAATTTGCGATGTTTATTTGTCTATGAATGTGACGCATATACATATGTACATGCATACATACATACATTTGCACATATTGAATGCACAGTTACGTGCATTTGCTTGCAGCTTCACATTTATCGATATTGAATATTATCGATATTAGTAAATATGCGCAGCGTTAATTCCATTTCAAATTGAAACGGTCGGGGCAATAATTTTTTTGTATATTTTTGTCGACGTTTTGTAAAAAGTTTTTGCAAATTGTTTTCAATTGTAATCTGCGCACATAACAGTCTGTCTATTAATTAAAAATACTCATTATAATATACATATGTATATATAATTATTATATGCAATTAAAAAAAATAATCGCTTGCTAACGGTTCAGAGAGCATTTTAAATAATTAACACACGACAGTTATTAGATTCTATAACAAGCTGTAACACAAAAAGCTAATCTGGAGGTTAATACTTAAGAAATCAATTTTATTTTACATACATATATACATATTCAAGCTAGCTGGGATAATTAGGTAACTACAGTGAAGTCTAAATAAGGTGAATGATAGGAATATTTGTTTAATAACGTATACATTGATCTATAAGCGATGAAGTTAGCTAGGAAAATCAAGCTATTAATGACGTTTCAATCAGGCGCCACTGACTGCATGATACTCGTTCAGTTTAGACATTGATTAAAAAATTTATGTTTAATGATTTATTATTCTTGAATGGGCGGACCAAATAAATGTCTATATTGAATCAGAATGAGTGATTTAATTTTAGTTTAACATTCAAGTTTTTAGATCAGCGAAACTAGCGAAAACCCAATATACTCTATCCCCATCGTGAACGAGTATACAAAGTGATTCATAAAACGAAGTTGAAGGGGTATATAGGTTATCGGCCTTGCCATATGGCAAGTATGGGCAGTTCAACTATGGGAATGTTCACTCTTTATAGTAGTCCCAATATATATATATATATGTATACGTATGCGTTTGTGTAGTTTATGTATGTGTGTAACCCAACTAAACTATAAATTACTTTTTTCATACTCTGT